TTGCCAATTCTGAAATGACAACTTGAGAAATTCACCACTTAGATTTTTTTTTTTTTTTGCCTAAATCCACAATAAGGCTTACTTGCAAAAATATATTTCATTACTTACTGATTCAAAAAACAATGGGAAAAAATCGTGGACAGAGATGGTACGCATTTTCATATTTCAGTTAAAAGACTCTCAGTTCCTAACTGTATTGTAGAGGCATCTTTATAGGTTGTTAAAAATTCTTTTACGTGCTACAAGGAATGCAATGTAGGGATAAAAGTAACTCTGAGACACTTTGCACAGCACAACAAAACATTATTCTTAAGGCTTCTAAATCTACCTTACACATGTAGTTGAAAGCCTCTTTTGTAAAGGAGATAACCAGATACATCATATCTCTTGACAGCATACTTCCTTCAATCCTCTTGAAGTGCACTCTTGAGAATTAAGGTCCTGTTAGGTAAGGCATGAAATCTACTGCTGACTGAAGAAGGCTGATTCCTCTAGACATTCAGGAAGATGAGAGATACACAACAGCCATCATATCATAGGACAACCATGCAAGATTTTCAAATACCATAAGTTTTGGATAGATTCTGGAACATTCCTATCCAGAGAGAAAGACCTTTTAAAGGTTTCCTCTCTGCTCATCTCAGATCCTCTTTGCCTCAGTTGCCTACTGCAGTCAGAACCTCCTTTTCTAAAGTCTTCAAGGCTATCCACCTAACACAAGGAACGACCTAACAAACTGGCACACTTTAAGTGAGCCAAGTCACAAGTCTCTGCAATTTAGGCAAAAATGGGGTCACCAGATGCAGGTCACACTGTAGTCCAGCTATTGTGTTCTACCATAGCACAGATGTAACTGAGGACAACGTTCACTTCACGTAAGAGCTCTGATCCATTTTTCCTCTTTCCCATCATACCATGCTTACACTCTTCAGGTGTTGTAACCAATTGCACAGGAGGTCATCTGCTCTTTCCAAGAGCAGCCCCCCTACAAAATCAGGCTCCCTCAAACCCAAGTTGCGATGCAGTGAATTAAACTGGTTGTTGTTCTTGCTTCGCTTCTCCTGTTTCCCCAAGAGCTGATCACATGCACCTAGAACCTAATACAGTACACCACACAGTTATGCTGGAAAAAATATACTCTCAGATACAATTTGAGTGGACTAACTCTCCATCCCACATACAGAATGTTACTGAGAAACCAAAACAAAAGACGGCATACAAACAAGGCTTACCAAAACAAGGGTGCACAGCATAAACAATGCTGAAGAACGATGGGTGATGTTGGTTGTTCTCAGATGATGTCAGCTCATCAGGCACAGTTACACTACCACAAGTCTATCTGATGTGCCTTCAGAGTTAAGAAGATGCAAAGGAATATCCTGCTGTCTTTAATCATTTCCTCACTACTACCAATAAACAGGAAACCACTGATCACAGAAGAGATACCATATGGATCAGAATGCATCCAATCAATCTGGTTTACTCTTGTAGACACACTGATACTTGTGTAAATGGAGACGGAGAATTCTATTCCCACACAAAGAAGAAAAGCCAATATACTTCCACCAGTCACTTGGAAACAGGGGAGAAGTCTGAGGATCACACAAGATACCTGAATTAAGTGCAGGCCACTTAACCATACTTACAGTTCCCTGCACACAGGACCCAATGCCATCTCATCATCCAACACATCTGTCTTCAAGCTTTGTGATTCTCTGTTCCTCAGTGGTCACTGCAGTGTATGAGGTTCATAGCTGACCCTACTCAAGCAGGGTGTTGGCCTAAATTGTTTATTCACTGATCCTGGGTGAAGAAGTGCGCATTTTCAGTAGTTGCTGATCTATTCTCAAGTTCTCCATCCTCAAACCAAGTGACCTAGGACTACTCCTCACTGTTCCTTCACACTGTCCATGAGCCTTGGCCCATTGTAATGTTCCTCCCCTCTTCTTTCTCTATTTCTTCAAGAACAATCTAAACTCATCCCAGCATGATTGGTAAACTATACTCAAATAGCAGCACTGGGGAATCCATCTTTACATTTCTCAATTGCATTAATTCTCTCCTCTTCCCATTATTAGTGAGAGATTTAATCTCACTAATATGGTTCCCCATAGGACTGGGAAAGCTAGGCTATCCTTTCACCTGATGAGCAAATTTAAGCCATACCTCCCTGAGGGAAGCTGCTACACTGTTGAACAACTTCCACTAATGGTACACAGCATTTTGTTGTACGTTTGATTGGTCCATAACACAGATAATTACAAAGCAAAACATGGAAGACTGCAAGACTTCCATGACTTTGTTAATATTTGATAAACCAGAAAGTTTCAAGATAATCCTTTACTAAAGATCATTGTCCGTAGATCTGTGAGAAGGTCACTTTGAGAAATGTAGTTGCTGCTTCTGTAAAAAGTAATTTTGGGGGAAATCTATTTGAAAAAAGTGACCTCAGTTTTCCATGATTTCAGTACATGCAGTTTATGCATGACTCATACAGCTAAGCTTGGGCACACATTCTAGTGCTACTGCCTCTGTTCCTTACCTCTGATTGGAAAATTCTGCCTTACCATAAGCACAAGCATTCATGAAATAACATGTTTACTTACCAGGCACCAGCTCCTCAGTAACTTCTTTCTCTGTACATTTTTGTAAAACAGCAATACATACCGACTTATCTTACCTAGTACTAAAACCTGTCAGTCTCACCTCTGCACAGGAAAAGATGATGGAACAGATCCTCCTTGAAGCTATTCTAAGGCACATGGAAAAAAAGAGGGGTGTATAGTCAATAATTATACAGAGATTAGGCTTGGTATGATGTAAGATCAATAACTATACAGATTAGGTTTAGTAAGATTATCACAGCAGAAAGATAATCAAAATAAACAAAAATACTCACTGGTGTTGTAGGCTCACAGCAAACTGCACAAGAAGCAATCTCCAGAGAGAGATCCTTCCTCAGTGACAGTCAGCTCTTAAATGGGGTCTAGGAGAGGTGAAGCCAGGCTCCAGCCCTTCCTGGTAGCACAGGAGAATTGCCTTCACCTGTGCTCCTGCAGCTGACTCGTTGCTTGCCTCAGGTGGTCAATCAGAGGATCAGGCTGTGATCAAGTTCCCATACAGGGGTTGACTTGAAAGAACTAATATGGCTTCACAAAGGTCAAATCCTGCTTGGACAACCTAGTGGCCTTTTATGATGGTGTAACTGCATCAATGGACAAGGGAAGAGCCACTGATATCATCTATCTAGACTGCACTAAGGCCTTAGATGTGAACACTCTTCTCTGAATTGGAAAGTTATAGATTTGATGGGTGGACTTTTCAATGGACAAGGAACTGTTTGTGAAATTATTCCCAGAGAGTTAAGGTCAATGGCTCTAGGTCTAAATGGAGATCAGGGACAAGTGGTGCCTTCAAGTCTATACTGGAATCAGTGCGGTTTAATATCTTCATCAACAACATCAACAGTGGGATCAAGTGCACCCTCAGCAAGCTGGTGGATGACAGCAAGCTGAGTGGTGCATTTGATATGTCTGAGAGACTGGGTGCCATCCAGAGAGACCTAGACAGGTTTGAGTTGTGGGCCCAAGAGACACTCATGAAGTTCAACAAAGCCAATTGCAAGATCTTGCATCTGGGTTGTGGCAACCTCCACTATCAGTACAAGCTGGGGGACGAAAGGATAGAGCATAGCCCTGCTGAAAGGACTTGGAAATACTAGCGGATGGCAAGCTGGACATGAGCCAGCAATGTGCCCTTGCAGCCCAGAAAGCAAAGTGTGTCCTAGGCTAAATCAAATGTGGCATGACCAGCAGGCAAGGAGGTGAACCTGCCCCTCTGCTCTGAGCTGCTGAATCCTTACCTGGAGTGCTGCATCCAGACGTGGAATCCTCAGTACAGGAGAGATGTGGACTTGTTGGAGCTCATCCACAGGAGGGCCACAAAAATGGTGCAAGGGATTGAACACCCACACTATGAGGATAGGCTGAGAGCTGGGGCTGTTCAGCTTGGAGAATAGAAGGCCATGGGGTGACCTGAGAGCAACCTTTCAGTGTTTGAAGAAGGGCTGTAAGAAAGAAGGGGACAGACTCTTCTGAAGGGTCTGTTGTGATAGGACAGTGGTTTCAAACTAAAAGAAGGAAGATTTAGACTGGGGTGTCAGGGACCTAAAGGCCCCAGCTGAAGAATGATCCTGGGATGGAACAAAGTATTCTGACAGTTTAAAGGGAACTGATATTTGTGGCTGTTGCTGACCTTGGTAGTTTATCTTGTTTTTGCAGAGACATATTTTGCAAGCAGGTGTTCCACTTGGGCTCTGTGTCACACACTGGCAGTGTGGGTACACTGCGCAAGTGGAAAAAACCCTGTAGACCATGAGTGGAATAAAAGCAGGAGAAAGGCTGTGGTGCAGGAGAAAGGAAAAGCACACTTTAAAGCAGGGGAGGCCCTGCTGGCACTGCCTACCAAATCCACCACCAGCATGTTCCTTCTCTCCCCTTTTTGAGAGCTTGCTGTTTCTCAAGGGTCAATAAGTTATAGTGCACTTGCTTAGGGAGTTTCTGCTTATGGGGATTATCTAAAATGGATGCCTGCGTGTATACGAGTGAGTGTATGCTGAATAACACCCATAACCCTCTATGCTTCTCTGAGCACATGGTTTGCTTGCCTCTGCTCCTGAGACATCCTCTCTCTCAGATCCAAACATACCCTGAAACAACTAGATATAAGGAAAAGAGTTGTTACAATAGGAGTAGCAAGGCACTGGCACAGGTTGCCCAGAGAGGTGGTGGGTGCCCCATCCTTGGAGACACCCAAGGTCAAGCTGGCAGTGCTCCGAACATCTGATGGGGCTGTAAGTGTCCCTGTTCACTGCAGGGGAGTTGGACTGGATGGCCTTTAAAGGTCCTTTCCAATTCAAACAACTCTGAGCTTTTAGGATCTATCTGGGGGGGAAAAAAAAAATAGAAAAAAAAGAAAGAAAAAAAAAGAGCACCACAGGAAAAATGCTGGACTGATGTTCTGCAGTACTTTTCTACCCTTAGGAGAACCACATTCTCCGTGTAACACCACCACCACCGAAATGCACAGAAGATGGAGAGGGACACAGAGACTGCAGGCAGAATTTACTTTTGAGTTTCTGCACGTCCTGTCCAACAGCACTGAGCAGCACAACAGTGAATGCAGCATGAGGAAGCGAGACAAATTAGAAGAACTGAGTTCTGATGGTCAGTCTGAGCTGAAAGAGATGCTACAGTTTCTGTCTGCAACTGAAGCCAAGTGATCTGTAACGCCCGCAATTACAGCACTTTACAAACGGAAAAGGAAAGCCTTGACCATAAGTTGATTAATTCTGAACTAATTTTAAGGGTTTAGGAAACAAAAAAATACTTCATTACTAAAGATTTAAATGTTGCATGTCTACATGAAGAAATATATATTTGCTCAAAGTTCAGAAGATTGGAGGGTAAAATTAATCATCTTCCTTACGTTTAATTGCATTCAGCCTTGAGATACATACTTCTATGAATTCTGTAAATTTGGCTTATATATACTTTTGTATAGCTATAGTTATACATACATCTCATGTTGCTGCTTCTGTTTCTGTTCTCTGATTGGGAAACACTGCTTTACTACTGGTAAAGTTGCTCTACAAGCATTTACATCCATTCTACCTTTGAATACACGTGCACCATAGCTTACCTGGAGATGAAGAGAATGGGCTGCTGAGGAATGTCTTTCCCAGGGGGACTCATTTTTCCAGGAAGACACCTCTGATACAGTATTTCCTCATGGAGGGCTTCCTGAGCACAGCCACACAATATTTAGCGTAAAGGCATCAGAGGAACACAATTTCTTCAGACCACAACTCACCAAATTGGCTAAAGGAGGCAAAGGGAAATGCTGAAGTTTAACAAGGAAAGAAAACAGACAGAAGAACGCAAACCACATGGTCTGGGAATATCCAACAAGGGATCTTTTACTCCCTTTCCACCGACATTTTCCTGCTGCTCCATCCCATTCCCCTCTCTCATCTAACCTCTACTGATGCTGAACTCTTCTGCCCAATCCACATATGGCATGCTTTGAAACTCACTGCTCTATAGCATTTAACCACAGTCCTCTTCTTTAAAATTGAATGACTGACATATAATTTTAGAAGTCTCAGACTGACCCAGCGACTGAGAATGAGCAGAAGCAGAAGTTTAGACACAGCTTTAAAACTGCAGCATATGTTTGTGAACCAATTGCATGATCAAGAAATTTTGGCTGGGACTTCAGATATTTCATGAATATCGTGAAGTCATTTCATGAAACCAGATTTGGGGTAGTAGGGGTGAGCAGTGGGGTTTTTCTTGTTCCTTTGGCTGAAGAGGCTCGTGTTTCTGGCACTGAATGCATTCGAACAGTGGTATGGAGACACCAAAAGGAAAACTGCCCAGGTAAGGAGTAAAAAGATCAGATGAGAATCGTATTCTGAAGCTTTGTGTCTATAGCAAAGTGTGAGCAATCACTTCAGTTTCTGGGAAATCTACTGCAAATCACAATGGGAATGTACAAGACATCTGTGATGGGCATGTCTTCAAATCTAAGTAATGATGGCTGGCTGTAGAAAATTCACAAAGGCTGGATATGGAAAGGTAACAGTAATACTGAAATCAAAGCAGAAACATCTTCACTTGTCCTGCAAAGACACATTGTTTTAGCTACTTCACTTGATTTGACAAAACAATTTTGGTTTTGCAGACTTTTATAATGATTACACATTGAAGTGGGCAATATACATGCAATATACATGCAATATACAAACTAAGAAGAGGGAGAGCTTTCATATGTTCTAGAGGACTGTTATCTTTCTGTTTTCTTTGGAATGCTTTAAACACATGCCTCCAGGTTACTGTTTAAAATGGTCATGCAGTCACTGAATAAGATGATATTTGCATGCATTGTCACAGATTCAAAATATTTCTCTTTGCAAGGTTTTCCCTCCATTTACATACTTAGTAGGGCTTGACAGTTATGGTTTTACTTCCTCTTGCACAAGGAACAGCAAACCATTTTGAAAAGGCTGTAATGTACTTGAGAAAGATTGACTGTAGCTGTCCTTAAGAGAACACAGAAAGCATAGTTTGCTTCTCCATTAATTTTAATCATACAATATAAAAGCTAGAGTGAGCACTGTCCAAACAAGATCACATAGGCTGTATGCTAATTCCAACCGGAACTGCTTCTGTCCTCTGTCAGTAACATTAACAAAGTGTGCCTGTGTTTGCTCTTTGCATCAAAAACTTCTGCCAACATCACACCCAATTAATTATCACATAACACTCCCCCCCTAATGCTCTGGAGGTACCATGTAGGTACGTGTTCCATTAACTTGTCTTTTTCTTGTTCTAGGAACTGGACACAGTGCTCCAGATGGGCTCTCACTTGAGTGGAAAAAATCATCTCCCTCAACCTGCTGACAACACTCTTCCCAATGCAGCCCAGGATATTGTTGACCTTCAATGTGACAAGAACCTGTTGGTAGCTCACATTAAACTTGGTGTCCACCAGGACAGCAAGGTTCTTCTCAGCAAAATTTCTTCCAGTCGCTCAGTCCCCTGTGTATACTGGCATGTGAGGCTATTCCTTCCCAGGTTCCACAATTCCATTTGTTAAACTTCATGAAGCTTTCTGAAACTTTCTCCAGCCTGCCAAAGTCCTTCTCCTCGTGTGGCAGCCACTCCTCCCAGTACTGTGCTTTCTCTGCAAGTTTGCTGGTGATAGATACTCTGTCCAGTGTCTGTGTCAGTAGTGAAGTTAAGCAGTTATAGGGTCAATATCAATATCTGGATATACTACCAAGAACTGGTTAGCCACTGGATTTTGTACCACTAGTCACAAAATCCCTGAGCCCAGCAGTTCAGTCAGTGTTCAGTCCACATCAGAGAGTTCACTCCACTTACACTTCATGGGTTTATACATGAGGAAGGCATGGGAGACAATACAGAAAACCTATTAAAAGTTGAGATAAGTAACAGAGCTCTCCCCAAATCCCCCAAGCCATTCATCCCACTGCAGAAAGCTGCCATGTTGGTTAAGCACTGCTGTCACTTTGTGAATCCGTGCTTACTACTATCACTTTCTTCAAAGAAAGCGTAGATGTGCTGTAGAGAAAATGAATGAGTTCTCTGTAGTACGTTTCAGCTCTGTGGTATGTCCCAGAGTTGATTTTCTTCACAGTGGCTGGTATAACACTATGTTTTGGCATTAAGAGAAAAACTATGTTGACAACACACCGATGTTTTGGTTGTTACTGCATAGTGCCGTACAGAGCCAAGCACATTTTAGTTTCTCCCCTTCTTCTACTGTCCTGGCAGCGAGGGATCTGGGAGGGCACAAGGAGTGGAGGGGGGACAGAACCAGGACAGCTGACCTAAACTGCCCAAAGGGGCACTCCATGCATATGGCATCATGTGAAAACTATATAACTGAGGGGAGCAGTTGTTTTTGTTGTTTTTCTTAACTCTGGCCATGTTATTCATCACTCTGAAAGCTGGTCTAGGCTTATTTATGATTTTTCCAGCTTGTATATAGCATATGCTCTTGTTATAATACAATCCGGTTGTGGATTTATTTTGGTAGTAGTACTCAGCAGTGCCATCATCCTCGCACTTTAGGAACCTTATTGTGGAAATGTAACAAGTACATTCTTTACATGTCAACCAGGCAAGTGGACCACCATGGAAAGAGGTATCCAGTGCCTAAGGGAATTAGCTGTGCTGGAGGTGATGTATAATGTTGGCCTGAACTACCAATTATTCCAAAATTGAGATGTGTTATTTCACAGTCTATGCGGGGTGAGTTTGTACGGAGTTCACCATCTCTGTATGCCAACTCACTGCCAGCAATGACCTGGAAAGACAAAGAACAGATGATGGATAAATTCACTGGCCAACTCCAGCAATATATATATCTCTCCTCCTCTCTGAGGGCCTGTGTTTCAGCTGTGGAGAAGCATTCCCCAGTGGCCAAACAAGTCGAAGGGAATAAATCTTCTGTCCTGCCTGCATGGACTAGCATCTCAGCTACCAGAAGTAAGCATTTTTCAATTCAAGACAGAAGATATATTGGGTGTACATCACATGCTAACCTGTGGACTTACCTGCATGACCATGGAGAGGATATGAGGAAATGAGATGGAAAACTCACTTCAATCCTAGAGGTACAGATATGTGAGTTGCAAGGGAAAACCATTCCTGGAAAATGACCATTCCACTTGCCAGTGGGTAGTTCTCCAAACAGAGTAGATGGCCTGATCTTATTTCTGAGTTTGATAACCAGCCTTTTGGTTTGCATTCATGAGTGATGAATACAATAACCAGAACCAGAAGGGCCCTGCCTTCAGTCAGTGGAGGAAAAGGACAGTCAGGTTTATTGGGCTGTGTGGATTCAATGGCCTGGCACATCAGAAGCACAGGAGTATAAGTGTCTAGTGGACACTGGTGTACAGTGTACCCTAACGCCATCAAATTACGAAGGGTCAGAACCTGTCTGTATATCTGGAGTGAGAGGCGGATTCCAAGAGCTAATTTTATTGGAGAAATCTCAGTCAGGAATTGAGTATGACTGAGAACGAGTGGCAAAAGCACTCCACTGCAACTGGTCCAGAACTTCTGCACATCCTTGTTATAGATTACCTCAGGAGAGGATACTTCAAGGACTCAAACAGTACCAACAGGTTTTTGGTATAGCTGCCTCGGAGATGGAGAACATTAGTTAACTGTCTACTTTGCCCAGCCTCTCAAAGAACTTTTCTTTTGAGGGGGTTACTAAGAGCAGAAGTACAGCAGGAGCTGAACACTTCCACACTGGTGCACCAGTAGTAATATCGTACCATTTGAGATTCCCTGATTCCCATCCATCAGCTGATTTGTCAGCTGCAGAACCACAAACTCGAAATTGCAAATGCCATGTGCTTAACAATGGAGAAAGTAACCATTGGGTGGCTGAAAACATATCCTATATCCCATGCCACTGCCCAAAATACTACCCTGGGCCTTGACAAGCAAGTCTTGTGGTGACATGGCACTCAACACCACACTCCATTTGAAGTAAGCTATTCAGAACTAACAAACCAAAAGATCTTCAATTTAGACCTCACACAGGTCTCAAAGCAAATGAGGAAGCAATCAGCTTTATCGGTACCATGCAAAGTTATCATGGACTTGGGAAGGTTAAATTGTTTTCAGCCCAGCAGTTACTTGACAGCAACATGAAGTTGCAGTTTGCTGGCCTTGATTGAATTCATAGTAAAAACTGAAATCAGATATTTCCTGAAATGCAGAGACCTAGATCTATACATAAATAGCTTGTTTAAATAGCAATTTAAGTGTTGAAAAGTGTTTCTTACCTGTCCTGTGTTCACACTTCTGAAAACGCTGTATCAGTGCAATTAAGATAGTAGTTACAACAAGTCCTGCTGATTTTACAACAAAAAAAAAATAGAGAACAGCATTTTTTCCAAACATGCCCATTTGCTTTATAATGAAAACTTGGTTGTCAAAACACATACTGTACATATTAGATCTATTTATCTCAATCAAGGGGAAATTATTTGAAACTAAAAGAGGAGAGAATTTAGGTTGGATATAAGGAAAAAAGTTTGTTATGATAAGGTTAGTGAGGCACTGGAACAGGTTGCCCAGAGAGGCAGTGGATGCCTCATCCCTGGAGAGGCTCAAATCAGGGCTATGAGCATGTGATGGAGCTGTAGCTACCCCTGTTCGTTGCAGGGGAGTTAGACTGGATGACCTTTAAGGGTCCCTTCCAGTTCAAAAGATTCTATGATTCCATTATTTTTCTTGCTTCTTGTATGTACATTATATCAGAAAGTTGACTTCTGAAATTAAATGTTGTCTTATTACCTTTGTCTAAATGATTCACAACCAAATGGCCTCTTTTCATAATGCATACGCAAGAATCTGTAGCCCATGGCACTAGGACAGACCTCAGCCAACTGTCTGGCTCAGCAGCTGTTCTTTCTGTCCCATGCCACCAACTAAGATATGTGCAAGGCGTAGTGATAAGAACAGCTAGTAAGCAATATTCATATGCTAGGCATTTACTGCCTCACTTAAACTTGCAGGTCTTCCTGGGTGGTTTTACATCACAGGCCAAAAGGTAGATCAGCGATGGCTCAGAGCCTGAAAAACAGAAAAACAAAGCAGCTCCACTTTGACCAGACAAAACACTGTGGGCTTTGTAAAACACAATGCACAGAAGTACACACATCTGGAGTAGGAAACAGTAGTCCAGGTATCACCTTCAGGCAACAAAATCCCTGTAAGCACCACTGCTGCACAACCTTGCGTTCCAGCGAAGTGCGTGCAGTACTGAAACTGTGCAGATCATTGTCATTTCATATGGGACCTAACATGTCACTGCCCAGGTCTGCATTGGCCTGTGAAGACAAGATGGTTTTAAATGAAGGGAAAGCAGCAAGCAGGAAAAGTCTTTCCCTCTTTCTCTTCCTTCCTTCCTTCCCTCCTTGCTTCCTTTCTTTTTTTAAGTAATGGCTTTCATCTCAAATGAACCCCACATTGCTTGGTCAGTAGAAAGGCTAATTTTAACCAAACCGAAAAAAGTTACGCTGATGTAAAACTGGTTGAACTCAAACTGAAATTCAGAACAAAACCACAATCATAAGCAGCATTTAATTAAAAGCTACCCACTTTCCCACCACAGTAACCCTTGCAGATATGCAAGCGATTTCTCATTTTTAGGATAGTCATAAATTCCAATTTACAAGAGAGTCCCTCTGATACATCTAAACCAGCAAGCACTTAAAGATACAACATTTACTGCCTCCCCCCTCACATATGACAATATTTCCAACATACACTGGAGTAACACAAAGAATAAGGAAGAATAAGTAAAATGACACTTTCAGCCACCTTTGGTCTTTGGCTGAAATGGTCAAGCTAGCAAAAGAATGCCCAGCTTTACCCAGGAAAGTTTACATCAGGTAGTCTCTGTTTCATCTATCCGTTAATTAGATGATTGCTCATGCATTCTGTGCATTTGGGGCAATTTCTTACATAATCCAGTAGGTAATCCAGTACATTATCTCTTACATAATCCAATAGACAAATGGTTTGAACACTGAATCTGTGTATGCAGATGGAATCTGCATAAAAGCTATCTTACTGCAAGTTAGGTTATTAAGACAGCCACTGGCTGTTTGTCTTTCTTCCTGATGACATGGACTTATCCAGATGACTGCAAGCAGGCCAAGTGAAACGCAACACAGTTACCTAGAAGCCCTCTGACAAGGTATCAAGTTGAAAGAATGCACACGTGAATATTTAGTGAAGGGACACGTAGGATATCATACATATTTGCTTTTTTGAAATCTTTTACTACCTTGGAAACAATTTGGACAATTCCTCCTGTGCAATTCTAGATTGTTTTGGCCAACAAGCAAAGATTTTTTTATTTGTTCTTAACTCTTTCACACAAAAACTCTAAAATCAGTCAATATAAAACTAAAGCCAGTAGAAAAAAAATCTGAAATCAGAAAAAATAATCTGTGAGTAGTAAAGAGTCCAATGGACTGCAAGTTCTGCCCACACTGAAATGGTAGTGAAGGCTAACACCGCTTTCAGTAAACCTTGCTAGACTGAGTTGACCTCAGTAGCCACATTAGCACAGATTTCAAAATTAAGATCTTAAATGTTTGTAGCCTGGTAATTTCAAGCAGCTGATAAGAAGATAGCAAAATCAAGATGTGAAATGAAGCGATGGCTGCATTTAAGAGTGAGGTCTTGTTTCTAGACTTGTGTAGATACTAATTGTGAGTGCAATAAATGTTTCATGGAAAGCATAACATGCAAGTGATCTCATGAGGTTAATACATGAACTCAAGAACAAATAGGCAGAAGATGCCAGCCATGAACACACATCCTATATATCATAATACAACCACACAGAGGGTGGTGACACACTGGAACAGGTTGCCCAAGGAGGCTGTGGATGCCCCATCCCTGGAGGCAGTCAAGGCCAGGCTGGATGTGGCTCTGAGCAGCCTGGTCTAGAGTTGGGCAACTTGCACATAGCAGGGGTTGAAACTAGATGATTATTATGGTCCTTTTCAACCCAGGCCATTCTATGATTCTATGATATGATAATGTAAGCATCCCTGTGCACTGAGAGACCAAGGTTAAAATGAAAATGTACACCCCCATGCACATGTAGCAAACATACCCTTTCATAGGGACAAAACCAGGAGCTGATGCATATCATAGCATTGTACTGTCCTGCATCCTCTTTCACAACGATGCACAGCCTCAGTGTTCCATTACAAAAGATGTGAATCCACTGGCCGTGTCCACTATTGCTATGTGTCCTGTGCTGTAAGGGCACATTTCCTCTGTACCAGCTGATACGAAAAGGCTGCCCCCACTGGGGATAGCCGAGGTAAAAAATAACAGTCACACACACCTCTGTTTATTGTTGTCACATTACCATAAGCTGAAAATACAACACACAGAACAAAGTCATTACAAGCAATTTTCTTTCAGCCTATCCCTCAAACATTGCCCTGATCCTGCAATTAGTAAACCCAGCAGCATAAACCACCAGGAACGCATCCACACTGTTTTAAATCCCAGTTTAATGTAGAAGCATGTTGCTGCTACAGAATTAGGAATGAAGTAAACAAATTTTATTACCTTCAAGAATAACAAGTGCACACAATGCAGCCTGGAAGGTGAAAAAAGATAACATTTCAAAAAGGATCTTTTCTTTATTATGATATATACACTTTTTCATGGGCTTACCGACCAAGAAATCATTAAACCCCACTAACCTAGGTCTCACCAATGAATGATGTGACTTGATGTAGGTGAGTAGAAATATTTAAAGGATGCTTTCATGCTAACTCTACATAACATTCTCAGGCACACAAAACAGCTTTTTTTAAATTTGTAATACATACTTTGTGGCTTCAATCACAGCAACAAAGGTGTAGTAGCTATGAATTTGTGGGTGAGCATCCCTTTCTTCATTACGTCATAACTGTTACCACTGAAGTTGGCACCATCAGACTGCTTTTCATAGGAAAAAAAAATCCTTCAGAAATATGTTTTCCATTGCTACTGTGTGCAGAACTTCAGAGCAGAGCATGACCTGCAGGTCAACAAATGAAGACTGTGTGCTGGTGATGGACTTGTGCATCTGCACAGCTGCTCCTCTGGCCCTCTGCAAAAATACTGTGATACAAGAGGTGCACGAGGAGCTGGGAGGGGACACAGCAAGGCAGCTAACCCAGTTGACAAAAGGATGTTCCATCCCATGCCATATGGCATCATGCTCAGCAATAAGAGCTGGGGGAGTTGGTTGCATGTCTGTCACTGCTCAGGGACTGAGCTGGGCATCAGTGCTGAGTGATTACATTATGCATCACTTGTTTTGAGCATTCTTTTTTTTTTCTCTTCCCTTTTCTTTTGCATCAAGCTACCTCAGCCCACAAGTTTTACTTCTTTCCCCCAATTCCCACTGGGTGCAAAGTGAGCAAGCAGCTGCGTGGTGCTTAGCTGCCAGCCAGGTTAAACCACAAGTGCTTAGTTTTATAACAGAAGCATGAAGGTGTTGACAACAAAGAACTGTATCAGTCATCTGCAATAGTGGAAGTCCCCCAAAGTAAACTGCTTATGTAAAATAGTGCAACACCAAAATATTGCCACATGTCCCATTCAGCTTCTAGTTTTTCATCCAAGCATACATGACACCAATAAAACAATGCGTGGGAGATAACACAAAGTGCTTCTTGGTAAGTCAAAGGAACACAAGTGAGACCAAGCTTCTGCAAGTCTCCAGAGAGGTCTGTGGTTCCTATGTATCTGTCACCTCAAAATGGACAGGATTTGTAGGGAGGAAAGCGGGTCACCTTTCCTTCTGCTTATCAAGCAATGCCTCATATCCAAGTACAGAGACATAGAAGTTCACGTACCTGAGAGCCGTAAGATGAAATGTATGTCAGCCTATCTGCACCAGCTATCCAAAATAACTGCTTAGATGATTTGCACTCATACAGAAAATGAGAGACAAATGCAACCACCCTAAAGACCACAGCATGACTAAAAAAAAATTGCTGCTATGCAGGTAATCAACAAGACAAGCAGTTCTGGTGTGTAAACTTGATCAGAGTCTCTGTAACTTTCATTGCTGCCTTCACTGGATATGTCTGATCATGAAATATAGCCTTGTGGGTTATCTTTACTGCCTTGTTTCAGCAAGTACACACACCGTGAACACTACAGCACTCTGAAGAAGAATTTACAATGGTGCATTCAAAAGAAAAGGACAAAAACCACAAACTATCTTCTTTCAACATTGGAACCAACAGCAGGAAAACATTCAAATCAACAACAAGAAGCAGTAAGCACAAAAAGCCATCAAATACAAGAAGTCTAAACAGTACTGCACCAAAGAGATATAAATGAACAGGGTGATCTAATAAATCCAGAGAAGTAGCTGGAGTCTGCCAGTACCATAGGAAGCCAACACCATTCAACTACAAAAGATCTCTGGGGCAGAGCAGCTACACCAACAATTACCCTCTTTAACCATAACAAAGATGAACAGTGTGCTGCTTCAGTAGCATCCTCCCCAGTACCAATCCAGGTACTGTAATCTACACCTAAGCCAGCTTAACGAGCTCCACAAGCCATGCAGGCCCGAAAGGCACCCAATTCACCCTACTGCACATTTACCGGTAATCGCAAACTTCCTCTTCCTTCCATCCTGACACACTGAACTGGTGCTATCCTTTGTAAGATGAAAGGGCAACACTTCAGTCAGTCAGTCAGAAATTGGCTGAGTCTTTACACAGCTCAAAATAGCAGCAGAGCTTAATGAATTCATTCTCCAGGTTCAAAGTGGAAAGGTGTTGACTTGCACCATTAGTCACACCGGTCCTGTAAACTTTAGCGTGCCCTTCATAATTCTCATGCTAAGATGAAGAGGCGTATGCATATATGAGCATATGCACACGTACCCATGTACAGCCTTACTTCAGCTTTGGTTTTAAGCTCCCTCTGGCTTGGTTGGCCCTAAGGCAATCCGTCTAATTAGAAAAGGCACACAAGAAACCAGCTGAGTGACCCCAGCCTACCTCTCACAGCCTTGCATACAGCCATCCCCAGGCACTAGATGCCAGTGTTCTCATCAGCAGCTGAACTGCTCAAAAACTCTTATGCAATTCACTGCTTCTCAGCACCCACAGACCGCTGAAGCCCAAATCATTTGCATATCATTACCTTCGGGCTGATAAGGCATGTGTATGCAATTTCAGGTACACAGATTCACTTGTACCTTGTCAAGCAATCGATTCCAATTCAAATTAAGCTGCCACGGGGACCCGGGGCTGCTATCTTTAACTTTGCAGAACGCAATTACCTTGATGAGGGCTACAAAATGCATATTTAAACAAATAGCCACGTTAATATCGTTCCATTTCTGGATCAGCCATCGCTGACACTGAAGTTATTCAACACCAGGCTGCCTGAGGGAAGAAACAGGGAAAGGCTGCCCCCTCCAGTACACGGATATGTTATTCTCCAGATATTTGAAAGCAAAATTCTCAGCATACACTGGAACATTTATATAGCTGGAAAATAAAATTAGCAGAGCACAGTCACAGCTGTACAAACAATTTGCAGCTTTGCCCTGCCAAAATACAAGCTTAAGTGATAACTGCCACATTGGTGGTTCCCCTTCAATTCTCTCACCACTGTACAAGATGTTTTACTTGACGCATCCCAGCTGCCTTCCCAATGCTTCTGAATGTCTGATACAGCCCTCCCAGCATAGGGGTACATCAGCAGTACCCCATAACCTCCTCAAAAACTGCTGTGAAATGAATCTGCCGCTTCCTCTCACCTCACTTCAGGTGCTCAATATGGTTTTTTTTAAGGCTTTCTACATACCTAGCCTATGCCCCAACACACACACTTGCATCTGTTGTTCTTTCCTTTGGATAACAAGTCCTGAGTTAACAGCTCCTTGAAAATGTTCAGTTATTCCTAGATATTGGAGGGTGGAGAGACATAAACTACTCCTCACACTTCAGCTGCAGGTATTAAGGGAAAGCCAAAAAACAAAAGAGCACAGAACTTGCTACATCCATGAGGTGGACTTAAATGATTAGATGAGCCCTTGGAAAGCAGTTTGCTACTACCAACAAATATCACCTGCTATCACCTTATGACAAAGAACGTCCCATTTCTGCGCAACAGGGAGATAAACAGCAAAACGACGTAAAATCCTGGTATCATGAGGATTGGAAAAGACCACTAAGATCACCCAGTCCAACCACCAACCCATTTCCACCGTGCCCACTGACCACGTCCCTCAGTGCCACATGGTTCTTGAACACCTCCAGTGATGGTGAGTCCACCAAACCATCTCAGCTGTTTAGTTTGCAGGCTATGTAAACTGAAAGTTTGCTGAAGATGAAGCATTCGTAGAATCCAGTGTCTGTTGAGATTCCTCAATTTAATTTCCCAACCTGTTTTCATGGGGATTTTTTTTGTTTTGGTGGTGTGGGTTTTTTTTTTGTTGAGCTTTGTAGCTATTGTTGTTTTTGTTTATTTTTCTGATTCTCAGAGGGTTTTCTAAGAGCACTGCCAAAGCAATAATAGGTAGGGGGTAAGGAGGGGAGGGGTCTTCCCACATCCCATGAAATAGAATACAGATGTGTGTAACAGAGACAGTAAAACTGATATTCAGAGCCCAACTGGATGTGATCCAGGGCAGCCTGCTGTAGGTGCCCTTGTTTGAGCAGAGGGTTGCACCTGGTGATCCTCCAGAAGTGCCTTCCAACTTCAGCTATTTGATGATTCTGTCATTCCCGTATCAGAAACAGCTGCGAGAGTGAAGAGGGAGCTTTGGTAATTCCAATCCAAACCATGGGATGTCAGTGTCTTCTGGAAAGGCACTATGCTTTCTGCAGTGTTAACAAGCAATTTTTTCTATGGTATGGAAAAGCGTGTCTGTGGTTTAAAGCTCAAATATTTGCAGTTGTGTTCTCTGCTAAATGTGTTTGAAGAAGAATGAGACAGCAAACTGGCCTTACTGTTTGTTACTTTTTAGCCGTAGTGGAGAGCAATGGTGCTCTACATTTGAGTGATTAATATATCATTCTGCTCTTTCAAGTGAAAATGGTTGATCAATACCAAAGTTTAAGAAACAATCTTCAGTGGGCAGCCACAATCATTCAAATGTCCTTAAGACCTTCTTCCCCTGTATTCAGATGGCAGTTGAGCTAAATGCAAAGTAATTACTATAAAGACTGTTGGATAGATAAAGCATTCATTCGGGCACTACAACACCAACAGAACGGTAAAGCTGAGGGTTTGCTAGAACTCACCGCAAAGTGGAAACTTAATTATTCCCCAGCGTAGTGCTTCCCCTTACTGACTGTAATTCTCATCAGATTTCATTGCTTTGCTCCAACAAACTCGTCATTAGACACACATCCTTGGTCATTTCAGCTGTTTAGGTTGTTTTAAAGACATATAAATAAATAAATAAGCATTTCTAACACTCAATGCATGGAACTTTTAAAAAACAGTATATCAGCTTTGTCAAAACAACAAAAAAAAAGGGTACTTCCAAAACATTGGCCAAATGAAGCTTCACCAAACAGTAAAGTTGTTGTGCAGTAGCAACTGAATGCAGCCAAGACTTGACATGGGAGTGTTTCTGAACACAGTTATCTTGAAATGCAGGAACTATTCCAAAAGCACCCAACTCGATTCAGGCAGTTGTATTTTAATAGTGAATTTGTAAATGACAGCTTACCATTTTTATCAGCCTAGAGACACTTGGTTTCTCTTTTCCTTGAAATACGACTACATTACACACTTTGGGCACTTTACTGCTTTCCACATTTTTAAGACAGTCAAACTCTCTTGGAAAGATTTCTCCCTAATTACCAATTTGTAATTATTGAGTTGTCTGTGGGACGACACATGCATGGTTGCTTGTAGAATCACTGAAATGTTGATTGGAAGAGACCTCTGCAGTCTAACCTCCTGCTCAAAGCACAACTACTACCAGCACTAGAACAGGTCTGCCATGGGTTTGTCCAGCCAAGTTTCAAAAGCCTCCAAGATCGGAGAACCAGCACCCTGTAAGGTAGCCTGCTCCTCTCATACACTACTCCCATAACAAAGAAGTATTTCTCAGTGTCCAGCCTGATTTTTTAAACCAGACTTGTTTTATCATTTCCCTCTATGCAGAATAGTTTGCTTCTGCTCACTGTTCACATGTTTTAGACTCCTAAGCAACTTGGGCATGCTGTCCAGTTTTTCCATATCCATTGGTGGGCCTGAAGCTGGACATAGTATTACAGGTGCGGCCTCCCCATCTCTGAACAGAGTGTGATGATGGCCTCTGTCGACCTGCCAGCCATTCTTTCCCTGATATAGCCCAGTACGCAAGCTGCCCTGTTTGTAACTGGAGCATACTGCGCTGTATTCTGCTTGGTGTGCAGGTCCTGTTCAACACGGCACTCGCTCAGACAGCCAATTCCCAGTCTGTACTGATGCACATGATTATTTTGGCATGTGTGAGGAACTCTGCCCTTCTCCTTGCTAAACTACCTTAAGTCTTTGTTGGCCACACCACCAGTCATTGCCTGGATAGCAGGCAGTCATAGTAGTTAGACAGGATTTGTCATGGTAGATTGAAACCGAAGGTTTCCAATCACCTTCTTCTCAACATTGTATTTGAAAACGAATTCATCGGTTGCCTTCACTGATGCTGGACAGCAGTTTGATGCCTGAGCCCAATGTTCCTTCATATCAGTATTTAAGCCACGGTCAGTACTGTAGTTTCATGTGCAGGATACATTTGTCATTCATTCCTCTCTATACATTTGTACTTTGACTGCGAACACATTGATCTTCTGCCTTCCCCATTTCTAAGTGTATGTGTTGTGCTGCAAACATGACAAGGATGCAGCAATGTGCCTGACAGCTGTACTGTTCTACAGACCGATGAGGCTACAGAATCAGAATCATTAGGTTAGAAAAGACCACTAAGATCATCTGGTCTATCCATCAGTTCATCCCCACCATGCTCACTAACCATGTCCCTCAGTGCCACATCTCCATGACTCTTGAACACCTCCAGGGACGGTGACTCCACCACTTCCCTGAGCAGCCAATTCCAACACCTTACCACTCTTCCCGAGAAATTTCTTCTAACATCCAATCTGACCCTCCCATTCACCCTATTTCAGTATTCTCAACTTATTTTGTCTACGGCCATTTCTCCATCTGCTCAGACCCAGGCTAAGCACAGACTGCAAGTCTGAAGAGCTTGTATCGGTCAGACAACTTCTCAAACAGAAAGTCATAATGCAAACTGATGCTTAAAGCCTCAGCATGACAAAAAATGAGCTCTATTCATTTCCCTGTTACTGCAGTTTCCATAGTACTTAGGGCACACTTAAGGTTTCTGCCGGTGGGCACACCAGGAACACTGCATCAGCTCGCTGTCACAGGCTGATGTGTTCTGTGCTTTGCAGGGAGTCTCCAGACACAGCTCGAACTCAGTCCTGCAGAGGCCCAGGTGAGCCCTTCCTTGCGTTGCCCAGTGCAACAGGGAAGCTTGTCTAAGATAGTCAGAGGGCAGTGAGGCAGTGGTACAGCTGCCCAGAGAAGCTGTGCATGCCCCATCCCTGGAGGGTACGAGGCCGGGTTGGCTGGGGCCCTACGCAGCTCCACGCGGGAACGACCCCCTTCCTCACAGCCCGCTTCCCCCAGAGCCGAGCACGGCCTTCCCGCCTGCCTCCCTTCCCGCACAGCTCCCAGCCGCGCCGCCCCGCCCAGGAAGCGCCCTTTGCCCGCGGAGCAGGAAGCGTGGCGGCGCCGGGCGGCAGCGGGCGCCCTGCAGGTAGGCGCGGGGCGGCTGGATGGTGGGCAGCAGCGGAGCGCTAGGCCGGGAGAGGGCTGCACGGGTTGGAAGCTTCGACAGAGCCTTTGTCTGTCGGCATCGTGGAGGGAGGACCTGCCCGGAGAAGAGGAGGGGAGGGCCGGCTGCCCTTTTTCTACTCCAGTCTCCGCTTTAGCCGCTGTCCCTGTGTTCTCCTGTCCCTTGCTTGTAGCGCAGTTCCCCCGTCCCATCGCTTTCCACCTGCCGCGGGCAAAAGCATCTTCTTGCCCAGTTTCCGATCTCTGTTGCACACAGGCAGCCTCACACGTTGCCCCGGTTCCCCAGAGCTCCACGTCTCCCTCTTCTTCTTCTCATCCCTTTTTGGGTGTTATGGCTGTGCCCTGGCCACCCCACCTCCTTCCCGTCCCAGCACAGCAACCCCTGCTTTAGGGAGGACATCGCCAGCTAGTGCTGTATATCAGGAACAGGTTCTGCACCACAGGGTGGTGGGCATGGCACGGGCTGCCCAGGGTGATGGGCATGGCCCCATGTGCCGGAGTTCAGGGAGTGCTTGGACACTACTTTCAGACACAGGGTTTGGATTTTGGGTGGTCGTGTGTGGAGTCCGGAGTTGGACTCGGTAATCCTTGTGGGTCCCTTCCAGCATGGGATATTCACACCTTGCTCTGAATGGCAGCTTGGTGCCCGGGGTGACCATGCAGAGAACACTCAGACAGCAACAGCACTTCAGGAGCAGACTGCAGGACCCCAAGGAGCCTGAGAGATGGAGCTCTACACTGGGATGACTCCTACAGCCTCCACAATCCAACACAGCCACAGGACAGCTATGGAGGTGAGTGGTCAGGAGAGAAAATGAAGAGTCATCAGCAAACAGCTGAGGTATAGACAATGGATTGTCAGATCCTGAAGGACTGTCTTCTCTGTTGGTGAGATCAGTCTCCTCTTTTTACAGAGAGGACTGATCATGGGAAAGGAGGAAACTCTCCCTACCCCAGGCTAGCCTGTCAATGTATAAGGACTGTCTGCTTTTTGCTGTGCTGCCATAGCAAATCTGAGCACAGCAGCCATGCATCAGGAGGTCTTTGCAGGATCAGAAGCGAACTCTTCCTTCTGACTTGTTTGCGTGCTTTGAGACTTCCCCTGGTAGCTGTGGTCAGACATTTAGCAAGATGCCACCTCTGAACTGCTTCTCTGCAGGTCCCATATGTACACCCTTTACAGGGGAACCCTGCTGTTTGTGGTTAGCCACTCAGAGAAAAGGCCTGTGTGTGCATGGAGCTTTGGCTCCTGCTTTTGGGTGGAACAGGCCATCTGGTACACACTGCAGCATGTTGGTAGCTGGGTTGGCTCCTACCATCAATCTGCTGCAACAGAGATTCTCAGTAGTTGTGAAGTTCTGAGAGCTGTAAGGCTCCTGAAAGCAACCTAACGTGTTGGCTCAGGACAGCCTGAAATGGCGCATCTGCTGAGATGGTCTCCATCAGCATTCAGCAGATATTTATTTAGTAGGCACTCAGCTTCTCCTTTCCCCTTTCACTTTCTTTCTTCATCGTTCTATAGTTCAGTAAGTCTCTTTTGCTTGCTCCCTTTCTTTCTGTCCAACTTTGCGACCCAAGATCAAAGACTTCAAGACTGGTATCTGTCCAGGACCATTCCCCTCATCTGAGTAGTCTCCTTAATTCTGACACTATCTAATCTCTTACTGCTTGTTATCGTTCAATAAATAGCTGTTGGTGATAGATGAAGCAGTCCACAACAAAACACCCATCACTTTATGCTGTTTGTTTGCACTAGAGGCCATCTGTCCAGTTAACTAATTGCAGCTGAATTGCTGTCCAAAAATGTGCTTTTCCCATGGCTCAGCCATACATAAACAAGGATTGGTAGTTTGAAGCATAATTCTGGGAAAATGTTTCTGAAGGGGTGCTAGCTGGCACTTAGGGAACTAAGGATTAAAAGGAGAGTTAAAAAAAAACCAACAACAAACAATGTCTTAAATACTTTAAAAATATTCCTAGAAACTCTGTGATGCGTATCATTCTCCAGTCCTAGATTCACCCAGCTGGATTCCTTCCCCTGCCACCTTTGATTCTTCCTTTTTGAAATAAAGTGGGACTTTTTTCATACCACTGTACTTTCTCTATTCTCCTGCATTTTTTCTGCATCAATTGCCAGTGCCTACCTTTTGTGCTGGTGGCATTTGTAAGACCAACCTGCCCAATAATTGCTTTTGTGGCAATTGTTGGAGTTGCAAAGCAGGGATCTGCCAGAATCCAGTAGGAATAGACATAACATCATATTGCCTGTTTCGTTGGTTTAGCTCCCTCAGCCTGAGAGTCTTTTCTTGGAGGAGAAAGGAGAATTGAGGTAGCAAGTAAGAAAATCATGCTCTGGTGACTAAAGAGTCATTTTCCATTTAGAATAAGTTTAAGAATAATTTTAATTTAAATAATAATAATTTTAAGATTATTCTTGTGGTTGTCATTGTTATAGAAACGCCTCCGATTCAACTGTGCATGCAGATTGGCTGAGTTTTGCTTTTTCTTTAAACTTATGGCTATTGTTGCTGTCTCTCAATTCTGCGTCCAGCACATCTGGTATATCTCCCTCCTCATATACTGGTCATCAGAAAAGAGGCAACCTCGAATCTCCTATAAGAAAATAAAACATATCTGACATCAGGTACCTCATTGGTGCACAGGGTGCCCATAAACGTTTGTTGCTCAGATTGTTCCATACTTTTAAGCAATTTCTCCATCTGTTCCCCATATTCAGTAGGGGGAGTAGATTTTAAGGCATATTATGTGACACTATTGCTGAATATTCAACTAAGATTTGTTTGCTTTTGTAAGGAGGATTCCTGATTAGTGAACCTGACATAAGCTGCCGAGATGGACCAAGGAGAAGATCAAGATTATGAGGCCTCAAAGGACATGGGTAAGGAATGAGTTCATAAACATAGAAAGCAAGAAAGCAATTTGAGCTTCTGCAGTGTTCTTCAAACTACTTTATTTCAACTATTTTATTGATTTGAGACCTTCTCTTTCCCTGTCACTGCAGCCTTGTCAATGTGCTATTAAGAGTATGTATGAAAGACAGAATATTAAGAAGACAGAATGTGACAATTTCCTGGGGGCAAGGAAAGGCTGATTGCACTGCCCTCGGCACTGCCTTTTGTGGCACATCTGCTCTGGGTCGCATGATGAGGTCGCATTCTCACAACTAGTTTTACATTTGATCCCAGTCCTTCCCTGGAACTGCTTCTCCTACACAGTGCAGACGATACTCTCTGGGAGAAGAGCTCACCTGTTCTCTGCCATCCTTGTCTCTCAGCAATAATTACAATTAGTGATTACAGCAACTAGTTGTCATTTTTTCCAGGTGCTGAGATCGATCCCTTTCTGAATCACTTTGCAAGCACAGATCCACAGGACTTGCTGGCAGCAGAATCCGTAGCAGAAGAGGAACAGCTGGAGAACGGTGATGGAAGTCAGTGTGGTTCCACAGAGGCACGGCAAGGTGACCGCAGGGAGGCAGAGGAGGCTAAGCTGTCTTGCTCTGCTATCAGCCTGGTGAAAAGACAAGAGAGAAGGGTGGGAGCACCACAGCGAGCCCCTCGTGCAGAGCGGCCCACCATCTGCTCCGAGTGTGGCAAGGGCTTCAGCCGGAGCATCCACCTCATCCAGCACCAGCGAATGCACACTGGAGAGCGCCCGTTCCTGTGTGGGGAGTGTGGCAAGGGCTTCAGCCAGAGCTCCCACCTCATCCAGCACCGGCGAGTCCATACCGGCCAGAAACCCTACACTTGTGCAGAGTGTGGAAAGAGCTTCAGCCAGAGTTCTAACCTCCTGAAGCACCAGCGCATCCACACAGGGCTCAAACCCTATATGTGCAGCGAGTGTGGGAAGATCTTCAGCGATAGCTCCACCTGCATCAAACACCAGCGTATGCACACAGGCGAGCGGCCCTACAAGTGCTCAGCCTGTGGGAAAAGCTTCAGTCAGCACTCCCACCTCCTTCAGCACCAGCAGGCCCACAGCGGTGTCCGGCCTTACTCTTGCGGTCAGTGTGGCAAACGCTTCGGGCAGAGCTCCGACCTCATTAACCACGCTCGTACCCACACCGGTGAGAAGCCTTACAAGTGCAGCCAATGTGGCCGGGGCTTCAGTGGCAACTCCAACCTCATCAAGCACACCCGCATCCACACGGGTGAGCAGCCATACCGCTGCGGCCAGTGCGGAGCAAGCTTTCGTTTCCAGCCCCAGCTGGTGCGCCACCAAAAGCACCATGCAGTGTAGTTGGCCACGTGGATGATGGGCCATGGACCTGGTGCCGTTGGATGCTTCATACGGGGTGTGAACTGGGGCAGGGAGCCCTCAGAGCCTGTGTCCTTCTGGGTTGATCAGTCTGTGAGCACTGCCTAGGCACTCAGCCTGCACTGAATGAACTAGCGCAGGTTCACTGCGTGGGGTAGCAGTTCTCAGCCCCTCTTTGGGGGAAGAAAGATACTTACCGTGGGGTAGCAGTTCTCAGCCCCTCTTT